GGAAGGAGAGGCAGCCTGTGCTGCCTTGCGGGAATCCCTGTGTGTTATGACTCACTGAGTGTGCTGAGATATTTGCTGAGCATTTCTCAGACAGCATCTCCACTGAGCTGCGAGAAGGGGACCTTTCCATGCAGAGTGCTGGTTACCTTTTCACCAGGCAGCCCTGGGATGCCTATGCCAGGTGGGCCTGCCTGCCCTTTCGCTCCTTTTGCACCTTTTTCTCCCTGTAAGCCAGGTGAACCTTGTGGGCCAGGGATGCCAGGCACACCTTTCTCTCCAGGTGTTCCTATAAACACAAACAATTGAAACTTGATTTGGGCTTAGCTAGTGCTGGTATTACAAATGGAAAAGCACTTCCACAGTCAGCCAAGAATGAGATACAAGAACGTGAATCCCCCACGAGCCAAGAATGAGACACAAGAACACAAATCCCTCCTGTATCAATCGGCTCATGACCCAGCACATGTCAGCCGCCCAGATCACATCAGAGCCACGCTAGGAAATGTCTCTCCTGCCCTTTAAGACCATCATATTATAAGATGGAAGAAATACGTTAACCACCTAGAATATTTACTTTCTCAGCAGAATACAAATCTATCTTATGTTCTTTATTACACAGCCAGCTCTCAGCAGCCAGACAGCACAGGGACCATGAGGCAGGCAGGCCGGAGTCCGTGCACACTCAGTTCTGTGATGCATGTTGATAGCCAAGCTTATTCACACATAGGCATGACCAGCAACCTAGATGCCTATGTTTTAATTAAAGTGATAACAGCACCTGATCAAGACTCAGGAGGAGATGGAAAGATGTGCTTCCCACCTGAACTCTCCTCCTTTCTGAGTGAGCTCTGAGGACCATCACCACCCAGCCCTTCCCTCACTCTCCTCCTCTTCCCGGCTGCTCTCACTGCAATAGACACTGATGGCAAAGCATTAAGGCTAGTCCAGGCTTGGAGCAGAAGAGTCCAGAGAATCCTTCTGAACTAACACAAAGGGCTCTGGAGCTATGAGCTACTCAGGCTGAGAAGCCTGGATGGAGAAGCCAACGTCTCCTAGGGTTCTAGCCAAGGGGATGGTCACTTGGAGATCATCAAAAGTTGGCTGTATACAGCCCATGTTTTATTACATTAGATGGTGAGTTTTCTTAGCAATGGCCATACTGTCAGCCAAATGCCATCCATCCCTGAGCGGGAGACCATTCAGAGCTGAGGATGCGAATTCGTGTGAAAGACACAGCTGCCTGGATTCTGTCCGTCTCAGCTGAAGAGGATCTCATTCTACAGACATGCCCTACCACCACCACAGGCACACATGCTAGAGAACCCGCTTCTAAACCCAGTTTACCTGGCAAGCCCATTCCACCAACAGATCCTTTTGGTCCCGGAAGTCCTGGAGCACCTGGGGTTCCACTTATACCTGGATCACCTTTAGGTCCTAGAACCATGAAGAAAGCAACATGGCAGGTTGACATCTACAGAAAGAGCTGGCGAACACAGGCCTCATCCCGAGCCCTTGCCACACTGGGGACCGGAACTGCACACCGTACCTGGCTGCCCAGGCTGTCCTGCCTGCCCATCCTTTCCAGGCACTCCTGGGGTCCCAGGGTCTCCTCGGGATCCTTTCTCACCAATTGGTCCAATTTGTCCTACACATCAGAGAAGAAAATAGCAATGACCTGCATTTGCTCGCAAGCAAGTTGCTGCAGAAACACAGGTTGGTTTGGTATTATTAATGGGGGACCCGATAACACACATTGTCTTATCAGGAGAGACACATAGTGGTTCTGAGCTTGGCCATGAGAAGCCTTCCTGGACTTGCCTTTTTCTCCTTGGTCTCCCTTCTGGCCCTTCATGCTGCCCATGTCCACCTTATCCATGGAGCCAGGCTTGCCAGGGAGACCGACATCCCCCTTATCACCTTTCAGGCCAGGGTCTCCCCTGGGTCCTGAGGAGCCCGGGAAGCCATGGTCCCCTGCAGAGGAAAGAGAAGGCGCCGGTGAGCCTGGGCCAGTGTTGCAGAGATGCTCAGAAGGCTCACATTCTTGTTGACTGGGAGAGCAGCTGACAAAGAGGCTACAAAGCACTAATAACGTGTCCAAAATGGCATTAATGGCCAGTGTCTGAGACACAGAAGAATCCAACCCCAGGTAAATGAGTAGTAAAAAGCCATTGTCTACAATTCATTATACATTAATAACTCTAATGCTTGTGACTTGGCTTTCAGGTTTAGATAACTTACATTTCTCTCCTTCCTACGTATCTTTACCACTCTTATTCACAGTGCCCCTCAAGTTCTATACAAAATAATAGAACAGGAATGTTACCATTCTACTAAACAAACGACCTTTTCATCTGTCATATTTGCAGTATTTCTTTTTAAAAGACACTATTTTGGATCAACTTCAAATAACAAGATAAGAAATAAAGACGAAGCCTTGTAAACTTGCGCAAGTTGCTAATTTGAGTCTAAGGACTCGGTCCCTGTGTCTTGGCATGGCTGAAGATGCCACCATTTCTCACAAGAAAAATCTCATCTGTGCCAAGAAGGAAGCCCCAGTTTCTTTCTGATTTGCTTGGCCAAGCACAGTTTCAACCCCATGTGCACTGAGCACCAGGAATCCTACTGGAAGAAGAGGGTCTCCTAGCCTTTGGCTTGATGTTCTTAACTTCTTTTGTGGGCCTCTAAAAGTGAAACATGATCTATGACAACTTGGGAATTTCCCAAGTGGTATCGAAAAACAGACACAAGATGAGCTTCTAGGGTTATCAGTTCCCCTACCTTTTTCACCCGGTAATCCCGGAACACCCACTGGTCCTGGTGAGCCCGGCTGCCCGGGGGTCCCCATGACGCCCATTTCTCCCTTGGAACCTGTGGCCAAAGGAAAGGACTGTGAACATTTCCTCGCTCTGAATGCTGACGGCAAATGCTAAGAGTCATAAAAAGAATAAGGGGAGGCCCATGTCCTCATGACGGATCCAGGCAGAAGTTAAAAAATCACTTACCTGGAAACCCAGGAATCCCAGGAGACCCCTGCTGTCCAGGAAGGCCAGGGAGCCCTGACTGTCCTGTTACGCCAGGAAGTCCTTGAGACCCTTTATCTCCTTTAGGGCCTGGCATGTCCAGTCCGGGGAATCCGGGGAAACCCTTCTCTCCTTTTATTCCAGGAGGGCCTGCAGTTGGGTGAAACGCAAATAACTTTTAGCAGAATTTACAGAATGATCTACAATGTACAGTGCTCTGTTTAACTATGACTTTCTGCAGAAAGCACGTGAACATGCCCACACTGGGGGCTTCAGTGGATCATCTGTTAGGTGTTGATGCTTGGGGTCATCAGGATAATCAAATGGCTCTTGTTCTAAAAGAAAAGCACCTCCCTTTCCTGTCATTGAGAGTCAGCAACGCCACCCTAAGCACCACCACTGCCTTGCCACAGTATTTAGGACTTGGGCTAGTTTTACTCTAATTTCCATGCACCACCTTAATTCTATGATTATTACCATCAAAGGCAAAGCTAGGTTCTAGATATGGACGCAATTAAATTATCCACAACTAATGAACCCTCCTCTGGAAAGGTAATATAGAGACATCAGTTAGAATAAAATGTAAAATGTGACTGAGTATACAATAAAGGAAAGGTCTCTTTGGCACATAATCTCAGTGGGTGGGAAAAAAATCTGGGACTACATTTAAGCAAACAATCAAACCTATTTTCACAAACTGGAGTTTTATTTTTTCTCTTTTTATCTCACACCTTGTGCTAAGCTTCCCTTCATAGAGACCTCAGCCTCATCTCCCATCCTTCAGGAAAGCATGCTTTTGGGAAGGGATAATTCTAGAAGCATGTCACTCACCCGACAACCCCGGTGGTCCCTGTCCTCCAGGGGGGCCCCTAGCTCCAGGGGGGCCAACTCCTGGAACTCCTGGAGACCCCACGGAGCCTGGCAATCCAGGAGGCCCCGGTTCACCTGGAGAAGAAAAACTGAGAATAAGCTGTGCAGGAGCAGTGGCATGTTTCCCGGTATAGGAGACCCACGCACACAAATGGCCCCAGCAACAGAATGCCAGGAGCTCTAGGCCTCCAGGATTTGCATCATTCGTTCAACAAATACATATCAAATATACACGGTAGGGGCTCTGGGAATGCAAAAGTAAGCACATCCCATCCTTGAAACCGTCCAGAATGATCTGCAAGAAGTTACCTCTGATCCCCTGAAGCCCAGGGGGTCCGATCGCTCCGTGTTCTCCAGGAATGCCTGGTACCCCAATGCTCCCCTTCTCCCCAGGTGTGCCAGGAATGCCGGGAAGACCTGGCAAACCTTTGAGTCCCGGTAGACCAACTCCAGGCTCTCCCTGAAAATCCCCAAAGCACAGAGAAGCAAATTGATTTGCAAAGTCAATATTTTTTATCAAACCAATAGCGTAAGTGAAGACTTAATAGATACTGCCAATGCATTTAGTAAGAATATTATCTGTTCAACCCTTTTCAAGCATTTCCAAAGCTTCCTCATACCTATTACATCTTTTCAATCTCACCACAAGCCCTGTAGGTGGGTAACTTATATTGTTTTCATTTTACAAAGGACGAAAAGCAAGGCTCCCCATGGATAAATGACATTCTTCTCAAGTCTTCTGTCCTGACCTTGTCCCCTCAACTCTGCAGCCTGGTGCCTGTGACAAAGCACTGACCCTAAGTAACCAGTAAAATGCCAAATATGATTTGTGAGTAGTTAATGGAGTTCTGCCTAAGAGATGGCAAGGTTCCAGGGCTAGCATGGACACCAGTTATTTAGTTTTCTGGATTAATGAAAGTTTCACAGTAAACTAAGCATTTTAAACTATGGCATGACTCACTGGGCTTTGCTAGATACAGATGACTAAAATAAAGGGTGAGGGTGCCTTGGAAACAGCCTGGATTAGGCACAGATGCAAGGCTCTGAAGCAAGCAGGTGGCCATGATGTCACAGTGCTTCACTGGTGTCCCCTGTCTGCAAATGATATTTCCAGAGAGGGAGGATTTGGACACTAGTGGGCAGTGGTAACTTCTCTACACGTCGCAGAAGGAAATTTTCAAAATGGAATGAACTCCGTTAAGGGGATTCTTGAAGAAGCACGGTATCTTAAATCACAAACTAAATCTTTCATTCCCATTCCATTAGGCATTTACTAACTCCTGAGTCTTGCATTAAGTTTAAGATGATTCGCATGCTGCCGTGGTTGACTAAATGTTCAAATGCAACGTAGGTTATCAGGGGAAGCTGGTGGCGGGTTGTACAAAAACAAAGGTCCAAAGGTTTCTCTTCAGCCTTGCCACCAGAGGAGGGCACCCTGCTGTCATGTATTTCTTGGGAAGAAACCCGCCCTGGGATCCCAGAGGCGCGGCCCCTGTGGTGCCCACCTGCCCTCTCCTGATGGACAGGGAGCAGGCCCCACCTGGGTCCGTCACTGGCAACGTTTATCAATGGCTGTTGGCCTTTTCTCCCGTTTGGTACCAATGCCTTCCAGCAGTTTCACATCGGTTCCTTACAATCAGGACAGGAAAGGATCTAACTGGTAGTCACATTTGCTGAGCAGAATTTCAAGTATAGGCAAGTTGGTAGCAGAATATTTGAGGGCAAGGAGAATCCTGACTTCACCCTGTACCAATAGTTCTCAAGCTGGGCAACCTGGTTGCCCTAGTGACATTTGCCAATGTCTGGAGGTATTTTCAGTTGTGACTGGGTGGAAGGGGGTGCTCTTTTGGTGACGCATCGGTGGAGGGAGGGCTGCTCCTGCCAAAAGCACTACAAAGGCACAGGGTGGCCCCACAGAAAAGAACTATTGAACCCAGAATGCCAGTGGTGCTGAGGCTGAGAAACTGTCCTGGGTGACTATGCTTTTTTCAGGACAGTGGCTTTCAAACAGCGTTCATCTACTTCTCACAGTAAGAAACATATTTTACCCTGAGTTCTGGCTTACACAGGCAAGAACATGTCTGTCATACAATTTCATAAAATTGAAACAAATGTTTCATAAAATCAAAACAAATATTTCCCCTCAAAATACTCACTTCCATGTGCTATATTCTCTATTTCTATTCTATGCTATTTCATCAAAAACAGAAACCTGCTGGCCCGACATGTCCTGGGAGGTTCATAACCTGCGTTTATTCTGTCCAACTAATAATAAGGATGGGGGAGAAGGGTCATTGAGGGAATGCTTGGCACCCACCTTCTGGCCCTGCACACCTGGGTTCCCAGGTAAGCCATTAAATCCCGGGCGACCTGGAGTCCCTGGAGGCCCCATGTCTCCAGGTAAGCCATCAACACCTGTTTTGAAGAGTTTAAAAAAAAAATTCCAATTACAATGCTGTTCCCCACTTTCTTCACTTTTAGTCTTGCCCAAATATGCCGACTTGATCTGAGAAGGTCAATGGTGGAGGCCTTCGGAGGTGGCTGGAAGAGGCCAGGGGAGACCGCCCAGCAGAGGGCGTCAGGTGCGCTGCCGCCTCTTCCAGCACCTCTGCCCTCCTCTTTCTCTCTCCTTTCCTTTTCTTCTGTTCTCTTCAAACTTTTCTTTCCCATCCTACTCTCCCCAAACAAAATAAACCCCTTGGTGCCTGCCCATGAGAAGGGCACTTTTACTCATCTACTCAAGGTGTGGTTAGAGGGGCAGGGGCACCATCATCTCATCAGAAATGCAGACCCCAGGGACCTATAAGGCAGGCCCACTTTTCAAGATCCCACAGGATCTGTCACTGAAGGACACCAGCCCACTGTCTGTGCCCCGCCCTGGAAGCTCTGATGGGCTGTGAAGCTGGCCAGCCACTCGTTCAGACCCTTTGTTTGCAACGCTGAGGTCTCTGATGTCCAGTAATTTGTAAGTCTGCAATGGCACAGGCCCGAATCACACCCCCTGTAGGGCTGCTGCATAGATAGGGTGTGACCTAGAGTGGCTGTCCTCCTTTCTGCCACAAAGCCAAGCAACTCCATGTCACACGGGCCATGGTCTCTAGTGAAGGAGGCACTGCGTGAGGCAATGGGGGAATGTGAGGGAGTCGTAAGTGTGGCGAGGCCTCAGTGCCTGGCCGCCCTGAACACGGACGCTCTGCTGCCTGCCCAGCCTGAGGGAAGCAGCCGTGGTGTAGGTGGGCATTGCGTGGCTGTCAGAGGAAAGGGGCTGTCGTCTCCTTTCTCCAAGCTAGCAGCCTACAGCAGTAAGGGTGGATGGGGCCTGGAGCCGCTGGGTAGGAAGCCTGGGAACCTGGAGGAGATTTCAACCTAAGTTTGACTGCATGGTGTGTTGTACAAAGACAAACTTCCTTATACAATACATCCCTTTTGTGCTCCCAGCACCTTCTCCTCAGTCCTGAACAGAAGGATGTGATGACAAGTGTGTTGATCAGAGTCTACCTGAAGGACAAGTAGACCTAAGAAATGTGAAAAGCAGGGAAAAAAGAAATTCCCTCCTTACCTCCTTCCAGTGTCACTTCAGCAGGAAGTGACGGCTCTAACACCCATAGGACTCCTCCCCTCGGAGCAAAGTCCCCGCCCTACAACTCCCTGCACCTCCCCTTGGGTGCTCCCGCAACTCCCAACCCACGCTGGCTGTGTTCAGGTGGACTGCAAGTCTTCCTCACAGATAAAAGCAAACACCTGGAAGGTGGGTTTCAGCAGGCGCCGTTGGTGGCAGTGTCCATGCAGCTTGCACAGCCTTAGCGTCCCATCTTCCCAACCAATCCCTACACTACAAGGCAGCTATTGCATAGAAGCGCCTGAAATTGCTGTGCTCAGCACCGCTTGGGCTCCTCAGAAAGCCTCCCTGAACAGCAGTCACCAGCTTCTGTGGTGTTTTTATGTCTACTACCCCCTCTTTTCTCACAGAAGTCACAGGCAGACCAAAGGCTCGCATCCATCTGGCAGGGTTACCTTTGGGGCCAGGGGGCCCTGGAAATCCAATTCCTGGCTGGCCCACAGCACCCTTCTCTCCTGGCAGGCCTGGCCTTCCTGGGGTTCCAGGAAAGCCTCGGTCTCCTGTGGTGAGAAAGACCAACGGTCAGCGTGAGAAAAACGTGAGGAAACTCTTGTGGTGTCCCGGTGAGCTGGAATTCCAACCGTACCTTGGGGACCTGGGAAGCCTGGGGACCCCGGCAGTCCTTCTGCTCCAGGGGGGCCTGGTAAAGGAACAACTTTTCCTGGTTCACCCTTTGGACCTAGGAAAAAAAAAAAGCAAAGACAAAAGATGAAGGAATGGGGACCACATGGAACAGAGCGAGGACACGCAGCGGGTGGGCTGCGTACCACATCCCACCCAGCACCACGAGTGCCCGGAGAGCAGAGCCTCTGTCTGTTCTCCACTTCTTCCTGCGCAGAGAGCAGAGCTTCTGTCTGCGTTCTCCACTTCTTCCCCCAGTGCTTCTAGGATCTTTCACAGAGAGCTACGCTTCTCCCCAAAATGCATGTCCAAAATGACCAAGATGTTTGTTAGATATAAGAATCCCTTAAGAGTCCACAATTAAGAGTCACAAGCAGCTGAAAAATCTACAACAACAACATGTGAGATGACTTTGGGTGATTTCTTAGTGAGTCGGTCTCAAAAAGTCAAAATACTTTTGCTGTTCTCTCTCAATTTACCAAAATCTAAGTTGCTTTGAGGTTAACCTAAATTACATTCCTTTGGTTGTAAATTATCCAAACAACATGATCTGTAGGTGATTACAAGTGATTCATTATCCGTAATGGTGCAGCTGGAGAGCTCTGTGCTCACTTGAGCAGCACAGGCAAAACCATCCTTCCTCCCAAGCCAGGAAGCACAGCCCCAGTCCCCTGGGCACTCATACCTAGGAGAGCCACTGGAGTGTCAGGGTTTTGCTGTTAAGAAAGGACTAAAGGGTTCCCCTTCAAGAATGTATACACCGAATCTTCGTATACCTTGTAAGGATTCAAGCTATGTAGGGCCTCCCCAGAACAGCCAGCACATTCTTTAGCTATAGACTGTGGGAAACATCAACTGACTGACCCTAGGAAATACCTGTTGTTGGTGACACACACCCCTGGGCGCCAGGCTTTTATGATCACCACAGTTAAACACAGCTCTCGCAGATTAAAGACGTCTGTTTTCTGATCTCGAAGCTAATTGGGTCCGCATGGCCAAGGATCCCTACAGCTGTGGGCAGAGGATCAACAGCCCTGTCCCCCCTCCCCAGAAGCCTTCTTCCCCATCTGCTAGTGTATATTTGTTAATACTCCAGCTGGTTTCTCTGATGGTAGTTTCTCGCCAAAAGAAAGGCTAATTCCCTTCAACAGCTCCGAAAACCTGCAGATGTCACAAGCACAAAGACGGCACTTGATTTGTTGATTGTGGAATCAAGAGACCCAAGGGAAAGTGATCAGAAGTCCCTATGCCTGGTTCACCAAACTCCTCCTCCATCAAACCTGGTATCACCCTACCTCTAACGGAGTCATAAAAGAGACATTTCTGGGACCCTTCTGAACAAAGAACAGCCATCAACGGCGTCAGAACTTGATGCTAAGGACTCACTGATGACACAGCAGGGAGAAGGATAAGAGCAACAGTTATGTTAGCACACTACACCTGGGCTTCCATCAAACGCTGGCTGACATTTCCCATGCCGGAATGCTTAGGAACTGGACTGTGTGTGTCTGTGTGTGTTGTTTGTTTGCTTGCTTTTGAGACAGTGTCTTGTTCTGTCATCCAAGCTGGAGTGCAATGGTGCGATGCTGCAATGGTTGCTCACTGCAACCTCTGCTTCCTGAATTCTAGCAATTCTCCTGCCTCAGCCTCCCAAGTAGCTGTGATTACAGATGCCAGGGTTTCACCATGTTGGCCAGGCTGGTCTCGAACTCCTGATCTCAGGTGATCTGCCCACCTTGGCCTCCCAAAGGGCTAGGATTACAGGCGTGAGCCACCACGCCTGGCACCAGCTACTTTATAAATAACTATGTTTTTTAAGGTTTACTAGTTATGTATTTTTAATCACTTTAAGTCCCTTCACTCACTTTTACAACTTTCTGAATGTTTCCTAGCAACGTGCATTTACTTCCCTCATCTACACACAAGGCATTCCTGGCCTCTCCTCGTCTCATTATGGGATTGTGCTCTCATTATGGGAGCACAAGGAGTGCTCCATGTCTACTGGGAATCGCAGTCAGCTAATCAACTATTAGCACCTGCTGTGTGCAAGGCCCAGCGCCACACCCACCTCCCACTGGCCCTGAAATAAGCAAGTCATGGGAGAGGAGAATGACAAGGGAGTCCACACGCATCCCTGCTACCGGTTCTCTGGAAACCCTCTGAACAGGCTGTGCCAGAGGGCAGGGACCACATCTGTGGTTTTGACCACGTCTTGTCAATGCTCAGCATAGAGCTTCGTGTGTGATTCACTCAGAAAACAGCAGACAACTAAAACCACCGTGGAATGAAATCGCCATTGCGCTGTGCGGCCTCTGTAAATCCGTTCACAGGCGTCTGCCTACTGTGAAGAAGTGGAGATCACACCACTCGGGCTACACAGAACCCAAAATGGGCTGCTCATCGGGAAAAGTCCAATGGGTAAGGAGAGGAAAATGACTTGACCTCGGTGTGACTTCTACGTAAAGGCTGATTTTAGCTGGTGTGTGCTGTATGCTTACTTATGAGGACTGTAAACCCAAGTTCTTTTTAGGGAGAACCTGCATATTACCTGGCCCATCACATACATGAGGAAAGGAAGGCACAAAAGGCTAAAGGCTTGCCCAGGTCCCACCCGAACTCCTGGAAGAATCAAAGCCAAGTGTGAGCCCCAGCCTATGCGAGCCCCGGGACTACGTGTGCACCTGAGGTGCCTGCGCCCGCCTCCGTTTACAATTTCATGTTGCACCAGGAGTTTCTCAGGCCTCACCTGGCAGGCCTGGGGACCCAGGGCCTCCAGGAAAGCCTGCTTGTCCTTTGTCACCAATGGGACCAGTAGGACCATATCCTGGAGGCCCAGGGGGACCGGTGTCACCACGACTGCCTGGGAATCCAACTCCTCCAGGGGGACCACGCTCTCCTTTCAATCCTACAGAACCCTGACGTGAGAAGAGGAAAAAGACACTGTTACCAGAGACAAACCAACACCCTGTCCTTATCACATTCTTCTGACATCTGTGGTCAATAAGTACTAGAGTTCACTAGTTCACACTATTATTTACTTCATCTACCCTCCCAGGAGGGCCACCTTGTAGTTAATAAGTGAAACCAGCATTCTTCTCCCTTAGATGAGCATTCTCCCTCCCTCATCTACTTAGGGAGATACTTTAGAGAACGAGATGTTGATACCTGGAATCTTTTGAAAACAATGACATGAATACTATTAACGTCAGATTTCACCTCCTATCCAAAGCAAAAAGATACACAAACACATCTGTTCCGTTCCCCCAAATGCATCAGAAGACACTGATCTGTTATCATCTAATTATTTGTCAATAATAACTGGCAATGCCTAGGTTTATAGACTTAAGTTGTTCCATGAACCATGAAACAAGTTCATTTGTGCCATCATCAAGGAGATAGAAATACATAGATATGATTCAAATTACTCATTTCTTGATTCTTTGCAGATCCACATTGTAAAATGCACATTCAAAGTCTGGAGGTAAACATACCGGTGAGCCCTTGGGGCCAGGAAGACCCGGACGGCCATCTCTTCCAGGAGAACCCGCTCTCCCTGGCATGCCGGGCTGTCCTGGAAAGCCTGGGTCTCCTTTGTCACCTTTGAGCCGCAGGTCGAAATAAATCTCACCAGGCTCCCCCTTGGCTCCTGGCTGGCCGATCAGCCCTGGTGTACCTTGAGGCCCCTATAAGAACAAAGCTTTGTGATCCACAGAAGAACCCATCCACGAAGCACACCAGTGTGACTGTAACACAGGCAACCACAGAATCAAGAAGCCGCCTTCTTGAAAATGGTCATGCATTCACACCTCATCATTCATTTTCTAGATGCAAGCCAGGAGCTCTGTGACAAAGCCCTGGTCTGCTGCACTTCTTGTGTTTTTAACAAAAACACTTATCTTAATTAGGTATTTCAAACAGAGACCTGGATGGGGCAGAGGGAGTTACAGTGTGGCTTGGGGCACCCAGCTCTCCTCAGGGAGCTTTCTTTCCCTAACAACTGCTCAACATTCACAGGAGCACACAGCACCTATCAGGAGGTGCTGACTGACGTGTGGTTCATTATGCAGCTTCAGTCATGGACAGACTCAAAGCACAATCGCTGTCCTCAGCTCTGCCTGCTGCCTCAGCCCCACCGGCACGCAGAAGCCTTTTCTCCAGCTTCTGGGCCCAGTGAGCCACCCGTCAGCACCTCCTGGCCAGTGCTGAATACTCCTGTGAATACTGAACAGGTTTCCTTTTATGCCCATGCCCAGAATTCCAGAAGAGATAAGGACTTCCAGGGCACCAGTGAGAGAGGAAACTCGGAGTGCGCACCGGGCCAGCTCTATAATAAGTTATGTCGAGTCAGCAGAGTCAAACTGGCTTTCCCAAGAGACTCACACTAGAACATTGCTCAGTTCCCGGAAAGTTAAATCTGCAAAGAATACCCATACCCACAATGGTTTCTCCTCCAGCATCCTGAGACTTGGATTTCACACACACACACACACAAAAAACACAGAAAAGGTTTCAAGTAATTGTCCCTTTTACTTGTTCATTTAGGCCTGAGAAAGGCATCTTCAAACTCCCTGTTGACTTGGCAGAATTTTAACTCTGGCACAATTCACTTAATGTGAATTCTTTTTCATAAACTTCCTTTCAAAAGGTTCTTAGATATATATGAATCACTCACATGCACACGCTTCTGTGTGTGCATATACTATGTGCTTCTCAAAGGAGGGAGTTGGTAGACCAAGGACAGACCAACATTTGCCCAATCTTTAGATTGAACATATGGCGAGTATTGCTTACCAGCCTGCTAGGCATTACGACCCTTTCTATAGCATCTCTGACCCTTATTGCAGCTCTGCAAGGAAAGCATGGAAACCAGGACATAGCAGAGGAAGAAGCTGATACTCAAAGAAGTGAGGTGATAGATCCAAGACTAACCAGCCAGAAAGTGCTGGAACTGGGATCCATATTTATGCATTTCCAGCTGCAAAACTTGTATCTTATGCCTGTGCCCTGGAGTGCTAAGGAGAGTTAGGTATGGTTAGTAAAATCTGCCCGTTACACAGCAGGAGAGGTGAGGCTTGAAGGACTTCTTTGTCCTGCTCAAAGTCAAACAAACTGCAAATATGGGACTAACCTAAATGGGGCTGACTTGCGTTCCTGCCTGAATTGCTTCCTAAGAGCTAAAAAATTGCAGGCTAAGGAACGGGAGAAGCTGCTCTTCTTCCCGTTTCCATCTTCCATGCCAACCACAATGCACTGACTCCTGGCCCAATCCTGTCAAGCCGGCTTCCAAAAGTACAGAGAGAGTATGTGGCAACTCTCTGCGCTGTTCAATATGACTTGGAAAGTTAAATTAAATAACACAAAAATGCAGTTCCTCCGTCACAGTGACTGCATTTGTTTTCGTTTTTTGTTTGTTTTGTTTTGCTTCGTTGAGACGGATTTTTGCTCTTGTGGCCCAGGCTGGAGTGCAATGGCGCCATCTCAGCTCACTGCAACTTCTGCCTCTCAGGTTCAAGAGATTCTCCTGCTTCAGCCTTCCGAGTAGCTGGGATTACAGGCATGCGTCACCACACCCGGCTAATTTTGTATTTTTAGTAGAGACGGGATTTCTCCACGTTGGTCAGGCTGGTCTCGAACTCCCGACCTCAGGTGATCCGCCCGCCTCGGCCTCCCAAAGTGCTGGGATTACAGGCGTGAGCCACCGTGCCCAGCAGTGACTGCATTTCAAAGACTCAACAGCCACCACTGGCCAGCAGCTGCCAGATCAGATGGTGCTGACACAGCACGCTCCTGTCATGGCAGAAGCTTCTCATGGACGGCTACTGGTGGTCTGAGCCGGCCCCATGCTCTAATGCCCCTTATGACCTGGGACACTTTACTTGGACCTACTCAGGAAAGGTGGAACATACCCAGTCTATTTGCTCTGGGTCCCAGGAAAGGCAACAAATTATTTCTATGAGCCACCTGCCAGAAATTGTAGCAGAGAGTCATGGAAAATTTGTTATTTACTTGAAAGGTGTTGTGGGATTTCTAAACTGTTTCTCTGAGTTAATATTAGCTTCAATGCATCCTTCAATCCCAGCTAAAATGAGCCTCCTCTATGCAGCCTTTCTTGCGGGTGCGGGCTGCCTTCTGGTCTATTGTATGGTCTTCATTCTGTAAATCACTTTGCTTCATTAGGACAGTCTATTTGCAGAGCTGTCTCTCCACTAGCATTTTAGGGCTCTGGAGGTAGGACCAAGGTTTCCTGTCTTTGTATCCTTGGCATCCAGAACAAAAGAGATACTGGAGGACGTATACACTGACCTGGCAATATTCATCAATTAAAAAATACCAATGCAAGAAATTATAACCAATATACATTTTTCTCAACCTGGAAACATCATAACATTATTTTATAGTGATTATTCACAGCCTAAAAATATAAAGCTCCCCAATACTGTGATCTTAGGGGGAGAAAATATAATTTTTTATTTTAACAATGATGACCTTGCCTGCCATCATTCTATTTATGGGAGAAATCTGGGTTTTTAAAACAGTGACACTGGTGACCCTAGGACATCTCATGTGGTTTCTTTGCCACAGAACTTCTTGATTCTAAGTAGTTCAAAGGTCTTTTGATCCATCTCCTGGAAAATAAATGCTGAGGAATCAAATACTGCCTGGAAAATTTAGCATTGGCGGCATTAATTGGAGAAAATCTGACACCTATGCTGTCTGCCTCTAAAAAGTGGTGCCACTGTGGGAAAAGTCAGGGAGTGTTAGTTTCAGTTCATCCTCTCAGGGACCAGGAACCATGAAACCTGCTCAGATCAACCTGGGCATCATCAACCTGCTCAGGGAGTCGGCCTTTCATGATCCATTATTCTTTCCCAAAAATCAAACACTTGCCTTTCAAAAGGAAATGTCACAGAAATGCTATCTAAGTCAAATGAAAGCTCAGAGCATTTCACCGCTTTTAAATTTTAATCTACTCTCGTGTGTGCTGGTTTGTGGATATCTCTTTTAGCCTCTGGCCAAATTCAAAATAAGAGAACCACATTTCTGAGCCAGTTAAACCACGGAGCTTCAAATACATCTTCCAATAAAACGAAAATTACTAACTTCTCCATTGAATTATTTACCCATAAATCTATTTTTAGAGACTTTTTCCATCTACGGAAAGAAAGGAGCTCCTGATGAAGGCATAAGGAGCAGAATTTGGGTTGTATGTTTTCTTTCTTTTCTTCTATATTATGATCTCTCCTCAATATTCCTTCTTTCTCACCTCTTTCCTCTTTTTCCATCTTTATTAGGTTTGTCTGGACTGCGTTTCAGCTAGAGTTGAGGCAGGAAGTCCACCAGGAAAACCCAGGAGATGAGGCGGTGGATAGAGGTTAAAAACGTCCTTTCTGCTTCCTTCAAAGTTCTTCGGTCTTTGATCCCCACTACAGTCAGGGCTACCCAGTTATTTGAACTTCTAATTTATTTAGATATATTTTAAACAATTGCAACTTCTAACTCAGCTCCCCAGGCACCAGGGAAGTTCTGCAGAGCAAAAGCCCAAGATCTAACTTCAAAAGCAGAAAACGATTGCTGAATTCCAGCTGGGTCATTGCTATTTCAACTTGCTTTTGCCCTGGTTTTCTTTTGTAGAAGCTTCCAGCAATATCTTTAAAAATTAAAAAGTTTGAAGAGCTACATCAGAAATGAGTAATACTGAAATCTGACTTTCAATATCTTACAAAAAGAAAAAAAGGAATGAAAGGAATTGTGGAAACCAGCCCGTGCTTGCAAAGCTCAGAAGGACAAAGAAAGTATGAGAGGAACAATGCCTTGAGATTTAAAAGCTTCAGAAACAGAAGCGATTATATGCAAGAAAATAATGCCCTTCAAAATTCAAGATGATTATTATGCTCTTCTATTTGATGGATTCTTTTAAAACAAACTAGAAAAGCGAAGAAGCTGGTATTTTGTCCCATTGAAAGGTTTCGTGTTAATGTGATCCAGATATTTCATTTATGGATTTGAAAAAGCAACTACACAATAGATGTTGTAACAGAAATTTTCAACTGTAAGAAGAAGAATAAAAACATATTTCAAATCCTCAGAGGGAAACAGATCTGCTTTCCTTGATCTTTCCATAGAAACTACTGATGCTGAACCTACTGACTAACAAGCTTTTAGATGATCTGATGTGATGTTACCAGCACCGGTAACACAGAAAGACAGCACTTTGGCTCTGCACTGTGGCTGCGCAGGGGTGGCTCCTGTGGCAACATTTGTTTCAAGAAATCCCAGAGACCCTGCGGGAAGGACACACTCCCATTGAGCCACAGCTGAACACAGGTCGGCAGCAGCCAAAGAAATACCGACCAGGTGAGAAGAAAGGCGGCTGCGGTTTGGGCTCTGTAGGTGACAGTCTTACGCATCCTCCAGAGACAAAGGCCACATGGAGACCCTCCAGAGCCCTCGACACAGCAACACTTACCAGCTCCCACACAAGGCAGAAGCTACGCTTGCAAATGCAAAATGACACAACTCTGTTGATGTGCTTGGTGGCAACTTATGATATGTACATGAACTCAGACAGGTTTACTTACAGGCACTCCTGCAACACCGTCTCTGCCAGGCAAACCTCTGTCGCCCTTGGCCCCTGGCTG